AGTGTGGGGCAGCAGCCACCACAAGCACATCTCAACCTCTTGAAAACAAACAAAGAGATGCAAAACAAAAGAGGAATGCAAGCAAAAGAACTTAAACAAGTCCAAGCAAAAGTGAGATGAAATGGGAGAAGTTACAACTCCTACAACCATTCATGCATCAATCACCAACCTCAAAAGGTAAACAAATAAGAAAGAAAGGAAGGCATGATCAAGATGAGGATGGGAGAATAGGATTGGGCAGAAAGCAACATAAGAAGAATCTCAACCAAAAGCATCAAATTGATCATGCAAAAAGAAAGCACAAACAAGTTCTCAAAGAGATTCCTCATTCAAGGCAAACTTAAAGTATGATCAATCAAACCAAATCACTTTGAATGAGTACCATAACCCAAGAGACAAAAGTGAGAACATGAGAAGGGAGCTCACAAACAAGAGGAGAAACAAAGCATAAACAAGTTACAAGCTAGGGCAAAGGAAAGAACCAAAGTTCAAACCACATGCAACACCTAAACACAAGTGGAAGGCCTAACTTTCAATGTAGCTTTCAACACAAACTACACAAGTGTGTGACCTATAAAATTAAAACCAACATCCTAAACATGTCAAGAATGTGAATCAAGAATCATAGGATGCATATGGGATCCATCAAGGTCATCTCCCAGAGGAACTAGGTCAACTAGTTTATATGAACTTCAACTAGGGTGACTTGACTTGCAAGGTTCACCAAAAATAGGAGAATTGTTCAATAAATCTCAAATAAAATGCACAAAGCACCTAAACAAGTTGGCAACCAGAGGCCAAAACATCCAAACCAAATTCCAATCAAGGCATCACCAAATTATTTGATCAACTAGGGTGTTCCATCTTGAGGAATTATTATCGAGGGTCAAACAAAAGCAACACAAAGTCAAACAAAAATAGGTCAAACCTTGACCAAAATCAGCCTCAAAGGTATCTAAATCCATCCTCAAGATGGAGAGGAAACCTTATTCATTGGTGATTGCAAATGGTCCATCAAACAAGAATGACCAAATGAAAACAATATTAAAAACACTTCCAATTGCAAAATTAAAATAAAATTGCAAAATAAAAGAAAATCAAAATTAAAAATTATGAAAAATTAGTTAAGACTTTAAAGTGTTTGAAAATATTTTTTTTTAATTTTCTGATATTTGGAAGTATTTTTAATAATCAAAAAGCAAAACAGAAAATAAAATAAATAAAATAAAATGCAAGAATGGCTCGGGGGTGCAAAAGTAAATCCAGATAACAAAGGAAACACGTTAAAACGCCCTGGGCTCAGAAAACATGGGGGTGGCAATAGGAAAGAAAGCCCAATCCACCAGCCAAAGCTGGGAAAATGAAGCAGCGTTTCATTTATCCATGTGGATTCAACGCGCCCAGTAAGCATAGTCAAGCCAATCACAAACAGCCACACACATGGTCAAGAAGTCAAACATAATACACGTCAGATCTGAGGGTTTATGAACCAGACGCTGGAGCCCCGGCTCCGGTCGTCTTCTCCGACGAGATGGCCGGAGCTCAGACCATCAAACCTTAACCAAACTTCACAAAATCGGTATCAAAAGAAAGTTGAAGTCACGTAGGTCATGATCCAAGATCCAATCATCCATATCCTTCATAAATCAAGAGAATCGAAGCCAACAAGTTTGAGATGCATAAGCGAAAACTCCATCAAACATGAGCAATAATGAATCAAACATGACCTACACGAGGTAGGGCTTCAGATGCAACCAGTATGAACCTAATTCATGGCCTAGAATGAGAGGAAAGTTGATTGGAAACTTACTGAGCGGAGACACTCCGTTGGTGCTTCTCAGACGTGTAAGCTTGCTTCAAATGATCCAGATCCACTCCAAATTCTTCAAGGAAGCTTAATTGCTCTTCAATTTGCCTTGATTTGTAGAAAAAAGTGAAACACGATTTTGAAATTTCTTTGAGAATTTGAAAACTGAAATTGCTCTCTCTTGCTCCAATTTGCACTCATGAGCTCTTAGGACGAGTTTTGAACTTATATATGATGGATATCAGATCAATTGGAAGGCCCATGAAGCCTTATTTTGCTGAATTTAAAAAAATGCCCAAAATGGAAGTCACTCATGCACACGTGAAAATACTTGCATACACTTATGGGAATCACATGGTTTTGCAGCTGGTGAGTTGAATTTCACATTGGAGTGGACTTGGGCTTTGTATGTGATCCAATTAGTAAGTTTCAAAGTGAAACTTCTTTCTGAAGAAACTTGGAAATGCACATGTTTTTGCCCTTTTACACCAAACCAATTTGTGCAATTTTGTTATGAGTGCATTGTGAAGTGAATTGAACCAAAATAAGACATGAACATGACCTATAATGTATTGAATTCAAATCATACTTGAAGTTCATTTTTCACTTGAAAATCTCACCACATGTCCATAATCATCCATAATTCACATGATCCTTGAGTTTTATGATGTAAATGAGGTCTCTAGGAGAAACTTTCATGTTGGTTGGAAGTTCATTTAAGGTACAAAAGTGCATGAAAGTGACCTATGTAGCAAATGACTTATAATCAAGTCTTCCCAAAATACCCTTTCCTTGCCAAAACTATAACTTGAGTTCTACAAATGATATCAAGGACTTCTAGGACTTTTTGGAAAGCTAAGACCATGAGGAAAAACTTTCATGTTTACCTAAAGTTAAGGAGAAACATGATTCTAGGTCAAAAGTGCCTTGGGAGTGAGTTGACTTTTAGTTGACCAAAAATATGTTCATCTGAGACCTCTAACTTGATGGCATCATAACATGAGTTCCACAAACCCAATGGATGAGTTCTAGTACTCAAAAGAAATATAAGAACATTCCCTACAAGTTTCATGTTTGTAAGAAAATGGGATTGAACTTGTATCATGATGTAAATTGTCCTTGAAGTTGAGCACTAAAGAAGGGGATTTTACACTGAGATCCTCTGAAATCCTAATTTAGTAACTTCTTGAACTCTTGATTCTTCTTTATTTAAACTTGAAATGACATCCTAAATGTCTCAACATAACTTCCCATGGCCTCAATGACTTAGAGTCAAGTCTTGAACTCCCTCTAATCCTCAGTTGTCCTTGAGTTGACCAAATGAAACCCTAGGTGCACAACCTTTGACTGTAGCCTCTTGCAGATGAAATGAGTGCCTAGATAAGCTCCACAGTGGCTTCCAAAGCACTCAATGAGCTTCTCAAACACATCTTATCCATAACCATGAACTTATGAACCCCTGATAATCTTCCTTTGATCTCCAAGATAGGAGATAAGCAACACACATCAATCTTCTCTCCCAAAGAGCTCTGACCACTTCCTAGTGATTGTAAGCACTTGATGACTTGAATAAGCACTCTTGATTGAGTTTGAAACCCTGTGAGACTCTTCTCTTGAATGGCACACCTCTCTTGATCGCTTGTAAAAGACAATGCTATGCAAATGCAAATGCTAAAATGAAATGAAACACAAGCTAAGTACAAGAAAAGGGTTAGTCAAATTTTGGGGTACAACAGGGTGATACAATGACAAGACATAAACAAAATAAAGGAAAGAGGTAAAGAAATTATACTTCATGGGAATTGATGTACATTTTGTCGAATTGGGATGAAATAAGGCGATTAAAAGCAAACTCATCAAACATATCGAGGAAATGATCAATCGTTCTCCAAGAAAAACACATTCCTCTTAGTAATGAAATTATTGATATTTCGTCCATACCTTCTTACACAACACAAGTTCCTACCTCATATGATAAAGTTGATGTAGATGTCGTGCATGCTATTCGAATCGATCATGAAGAAGGCATATGGTAAAATTAACAAGTACGTAATTTATTCTTTATTCATAATATTTTAATTGTATGTTATAGTTTCTAAGTATTTTTACTAACAAGTATAATTATTTGAAATCATAGGTCTTTAGAGTCAAGACACCAAGAAACAAGAAACCAAAACACTATGTTACAATTATGTGATGTTATGCAATGTGTAAACTGTAGGTTGTTTGTTCTGATACAATTGAATATGATACAATTATGTGATATTATGAATATGATACAATTAATATTATTATGATAACTTTATCACAAATATGAGTTGTATTTTCTGTTGTGATATGATGAACAATAATACAGGTTAAAAAAATGGGATTAATTATAAAAGCAGGATAATATTTGTTAATTCTGCACAAAATGTAACAACGCTTATATATCATAACCGTTAAAATATCTCGCGCGCTTTGCAGAAAAAAAAAATCAAAACGGTGCAGTTGAGAATTGAACCTAGGACCATTATTTTTATCACGACGGTCTTTTAGAAAACCCGTTATGATATGGTGCGCGCTTTCCAGTTTATTACAACGGTTACTGGGCCGTGATTGTAAGTATCATATATACAACGACACTCTACATAACAACACATGTGTCCGCATGATTATATATATTTCTCAATTGTTGTTAAATGAGTTTTTTGTAGTAGTGATTGTCCATCACTCTGATCTAAGTCTGATGGCTAGCATTTTAGCCACCAATTTGTACAAGGATTCCATCAAAGAAATAAACCTAAACTCTCTCAAGTGGGAAGAGGAGTTAACCTTCGGGATCAAAGTCACAATATAAGATAATATGTAAAATTAAGGGATAAAAATGCAAACCGATGAAATTGATCAAACATGTATTATGTACCGTAAACTAAACAATTGATGTTGCAAAGTTGAGCCTTGTCACAACAAAATAAAAAATAAAAAGTATTACTACATTAAATTGATTGTGCAAATATTAATTATGTACAAACCTTTGGAGTTTCTTAAATGCTTTAGGCATTGAAAAGTGAAAACACAAGGAAAAGAAAGAAATTCAAACAATTGAAGTTATATCTGTCGTCACTCTTTCACATCCTTTTCATTTGTTTTTTTTTTAACTTTCTGTGCGCACAAATTCACAGATATACAATTCAAAATTTTCAATCATGCACTATTTTCCTTTCAAACGCAAGAACCTCTTGGGAGAATACATTCTGAAAACTTTGTAAGCTGAGATAATTGATATCATAGCCATTAAAATGGATGCTATATAGCAACATAATATTGCCCCTGCAATTTGTTCACAGAATCTGGTGAATTTGTTGCATACCTTCAACCACTGGAATGCGTCTGAGCCAGTAAGTGCAAATAGAGCTGCTTCAAATAATGCTGTGTTTGTGGCAAATGTCAAGTACACAGCAATCTGTTTACAAATTTGTTTAAACATAAAAGTTATCATAATACTAATCTAAAATCAACTAACTACTAACATTTATATCGGTAAAACTCTAATCTTAAAATTAACCGAATCAATTTTAATGAACAAAAATCAATTTTTCTGATTGATCACGCATCTTGTTTTTTACTATTTACTCAGATGAAACGACAATTTCTTAGTTGCAAGATGATTCTACACTACACAAAGAATTGAAAGAAGAAAATAATATAATTGAAAATGAGAGAAAAGAGAAATTATAGAGGAGGAAGAAGAAAGTCTTGTTGCACAAACTGCATTTTAACTGTTTGCTACAATGTGTGTTAATCACATCTGTGATTTCTAAACTATATAAAACTATTACAAAGTTTGTTATTCTCTTTTTCAAATGAAATAGAACTCCTCTCTATTTATAAATAAGATTACTTGAATTCTAAGTAATCACAAAAATAACTAACTCAACTAAAACTAAACTAAGTCAGTCTATTTTGACTTTGTCGACTCCTTCAAAAGCTACATACTTCGATTGCATGCTTCGACAAAATATATTCAATTTTCTATCAAATACAACAAATACAAATTATATTCAACACAAAATCCAATGCACTATTTCAACATGAACACAGAGGATTATGTATCAAGAACACTTAAATAATTTACAAACATCTATGTATTCTAATAATCATATAAATCATCTATAAAACCATTTTGAATATAGTTCTTGCACAAATAATAATTATCAAATCAGATAAATATTTTTTTAGGCCTTTTACCCTTTATTTATTGTTTATATATTTCAAACCCTTCAGAAGTATCACCATTCAAAACAAAATAAAACAATTTTTTACACTAACATTTTCAAATATTCCAACATTAATAATTAGTTAGGAGAATTTGAATTCAAATTCAAATTCTACTTAAATTAATTATTAATATATCTTACTTATTTCTTAGTTAAACCTGATCAAATAAAGACAAATATATATACACATATATATTTTTCATCAACTACAAAGGTTGTTTTAATAAATGATAGATTTCAATTATAATTGTAAAGAAAACAATCCTGCAAGTTATTTAAGTCTCTTTCATTCAATTTTTTTTAATTAAAGATATATATGAGCCTAATTCAATACACATACTTTAATCTAGAAAATTGTATATACATAATTATATTATTACTATAATATTATATAATAAGCATTCTCAATAATTAAACAGAAAAATAATAATTTACCTGATCCAGAAACAAACTAATCCAAACCATGCACATATCACAAGATCCTATTGAAGAACAAGAGTGTTTGCATAATTGAAGCATGTTATATCCAGCAGCTGAAGATGAAACATACAGCAATATCCTAAAAAAAAAATAATATATTGTCACATAAAAAATAAAAAAATAAAAAATAAATAAATAAGTAGAAAGAAAATTGATTTACTTGAGAGCATCCACGTCCTTATAAGTAACTTTCCTTTCAATAGTTAAAAGGATAACCTTAGTTTGAGTATCAAAAGCAACTAAAAAAGCTGTCAATACCAAGAGCAATATTGCTATAACTCTCAGAAAAATTTCTCCTCTTGCTATTCTGAATTCCATTATATTTTTTGAGAGAGAGATAGTGTATTAAATTTTGGAGGTGTTTGGGGACATTTATTGAATGTAAGAGATTGTTTATAGAGTGCTTCCAAAGTGGATGACATAACACTACTGGTTGAAAATAATCCACGAGGGTGTGGAAATGAATTGTCTCAACAGCTACCAAATATCTATTAATGATGTTTAATTGCTTACACGTTTCATTGAATGAATGAAAAGAAGGTAGAGAGATGTGAGAGCTTAATAAAGAGACCAATGGATATTGATATAGACACAGAAATAAAATATTTTATTTAAACATTTATTTTTAAAATATTTATTTATAAATATTAATTATTTATTTATATTAATACATAAATTTTAAAAAATATTGTTGATTTATTTAATTTTTTATCTAGTAGTTTATGTTTAGAATTTTATGTTGGTGCAAAGGTAGAATAAATGATGAATAGAGAAATATTTTATTAAGAGAATGACGGCGACACACACACCACAAAATGCAATGATTGCTACTCTATTTATAAGTTAAAACTAGGGTTATTAGAATAAGATAAAAATACTAAAATACCATCTAACAAACTTAGGGGCTAAGAAAATAGTACAACTAATAAATATGAATTACTTCTAATACCATCCCTTAATTCATATTCTATCAAAACTTGTAACACCAATTTCATCCCTTAGTCTGAGAAATTGATCAGTCTTGATAACTTTCGTCAGAACATCTGCCAACTGTTTCTGAGTGCTGCAGTGTACAACTTCTAACACTCCACTCTGAACTTGATGTCTCAGAAAATGATACTTTGTCTCAATATGCTTGCTTCTCCCATGCAACACTGGGTTTCTGACAAGATTGATTGCAGACTTGTTGCCAATCATCAACTTCAGAGGTCTATTTATTTTAATCTTCAGATTCTGCAACAGATTCAGAATCCACACAGCTTGGCATGCAGTAACAACACCTGCAATGTATTCAGCTTCACAGGTCGATAACGCCACAACAGGTTGCTTCTTGGAACACCAAGAAATGAGACCTCCCAGAAATTTGAACAAGTACCCAAAAATACTTCTTCTGTCAACTCTGTCTCCACACCAATCAGAATCTGAATAACTCAGAAGTTCTGACTCATTCTTTCTTCCAGAAGGAAATAACACTCCATACTTCAGAGTTCCCTTGATATACCTCAGAATCCTGACAGCATCTTGGTAATGGGACCACTTAGGTTTACTCATGAACCTACTAACCATCCCAACAGAATAGCAAATATCAAGTCTGGTATTGCACATATACCTCAGAGAACCAACCAACTGTTTGAAAGTTGTAACGTCCACATCCTTTCCATCAGAGTCAGAATCCAGTTTCTGATTTGTATTTGAAGGTGTGACAGCAATCTTACAATTCTTCAGCTCAAATCTCTTCAGAAGTTCTAATTCATACTTGAGCTGATGCAAAATGATACCTTTCTCAGAATATCTGAACTCCATCCCTAGAAAGTATGTCATTTTGCCTAGATCAGTCATTTCGAATTCATTCATCAGAACTTTCTTGAACTTGGCTATCTCCTGTTCAGAGCTTCTAGTCAATAGTATATCATCAACATATAAACATACCAGAGTCATATTGCCTTCAGAAGTATGTTGAACATAGACACCGTACTCCATCTCACATTTCTGAAAGTCTTGCTTCTTGAAAAATGAATCAATCTTCTGATTCCAAGCTCTGGGCGCTTGTTTCAGTCCATATAGAGCTTTGTATAATCTGTACACCATCCCTTCCTGATTCTTTTTCACAAATCCAGGAGGTTGTGACACGTAAACTTCTTCTTCTAATGGACCGTTCAAAAATGCAGATTTTACATCTAAATGCATCAGAGGCCAATTCCTCTTAGCAGCTATTGCAATCACCATTCTGATTGTTTCATGTCTTGCTACAGGTGCAAACACTTCAGAATAATCCAGCCCAGGTTTCTGTAGAAATCCTCTAGCTACCGACCTTGCTTTATGTTTGCCAATTGAACCATCTGGCTTTAACTCCTGCTTGAAAACCCATCTGACGCTGATGGCTTTCTTGTCTTTTGGAAGTTCTGTCAGCTTCCAAGTCTTGTTTCTCTCTATAGAATCAAGTTCTTCTTTCATGGCCTTCAGCCAGAGCTTCTTCTTAAGAGCCTCTTCTGTACTTATGGGTTCAGAGTCTACTATCATGGAACACTGAATAACTTCTCCTTCAGAGTCTACTTCAATGTCTTGCAACATGTCAAATTCTGCATTTTTTCTGGGAATGTTTCTGATTCTTTGTGGTCTCTGAACTTGTTCAGAGTCTTGAGCTTCAGAGTTTCTAGCTTCAGATGATTAACTTTCTCCAGAGCTTTGACCATCTTTAGAGTCTGGCATATTTCCAGAGTCTGAACTGCCACCAGAATCTGAATTGCCATCAGAGTCTGGATCATCAGAGTCACCATCATCTTCTGAGTCTTCTCCAGAGTCTGAATCACTATTAGAGTCAGAGTCAACGTCAGAGTTTACTCCAACTTCAGAAATTCTTAACTCTAATCTTTCTTCAGAAGTTCTAACATCAGAATCAGATTGAGACTTATCCCAATTCCAAACTTCTGATTCCTTCACAATCACATCTCTGCTGAATTCAATTTTATTGGTTTCTGGACAATAGAGCTTGTATGCACCTGTACTGTGGTACCCTATCAGAATCATCACTTTGCTTCTATCATCCAGCTTTTGTCTTCTGGCTTCTAGAACATGTTTATAGCAAACAGCACCAAACACCTTTAGATGACTAACACTTTGCTTATCTTCAGTCCACTTCTGTATTGGAACTATTTCCTTCAACTTCTTCGTAGGACATCTGTTGAATACATACGTTGCAGTGGAAACAGCTTCTCCCTAGAGCTTCTGAGGAAGCTTCTTCTCCTTTAGCATGTTTCTCACCATATCAAGCAAAGTGCGGTTTCTTCTTTCAGCAAGACCATTGTGTTGAGGGGTATAAGGAGCAGTAACCTCATGCTCAATTCCATTCTCCTCATAGAACTTCTGGAACTCTTTGGAGTTATACTCACCTCCACCGTCAGTTCTAAGAATCTTCAACTTCTGACCACTCTGATTCTCAGCCTTCATTATGAACTTCTTGAATTCATCAAACACCTCGTGTTTAAACTTAATAAGGGATACCCATGTCATTCTTGTGAATTCATCAACAAACATATCATTAAAAAAAGGTAATATGTAGAAAAAAAATATGTAGGAAAAGTTGTTGTGTTTCACAAAAGTTTGTTGTGTTTTAAAAATTCATCAACAAACATATTTTAAAAATTTTGTTGTGTTTCACAAAAGTTGTTATATGATAATCTCACGTGAACAACATATCATTAAAAAAAGGTAATATGTAGGAAAAAAATACAATTATATGAATTTTAAATATCAAAATTAATAACAAGAATGAGCTAAAATATGGAAGATTAAAACTATAATAATTAAATTTTATTTCTTATGAAATACTTTTTAACTTTTTGGCTAGAAGTATTTTAAAACATTTTATCTATCAATATAACATAAGTAAAAAAGATGAATTATTCAATTTTTATTTTATAATTGAGTTGCTCCATATGAGACAGAATGGTTATGTAGAGAAAGTACACAAAGTGGTTTTAATTTAGAAGGGTACCCTATATTAAATGAATTGTACGCATTCCCTACAAATCTTATTATATAGTTCCAAAAAATATTATATCAGATCTGTTTCGTGTTCCAAAAAAATACTAGTGTATATATCAGATCTGTGCCGCAACTAATTTAAATTGATTACTACTATCATAAATAGTTCGTTGCCACATTAAATCCATTTCTGACTTAATTGACTAAATACCTAAATGATGTGACTAGAGTTAGTTTTTCATCCACTTGTGTTTTAAGAAACTCTCGGACCAGAATTTTTTTTACAATAACCATGTATTAGGTTAAATTTATGTAAATAACTAAATATTCAAAGAAATTTTTAGAATAGCTAACAAATCAACCTCGTATCGCCGGACCAAATAGCGACACAGGCCACACTCCAAACAAATCGTCAGAGCAAATGGCGACACAATATATGCAGTAGGGAATTTGCCAGAGCAAATGGCGACACAGTATATGCAGTAGGGAATTTGCCAGAGCAAATGGCGACTCAGGCCAAGATGCTTCTAGGTTTCGTTTTTTTTTCTTTTTGTTGTTTTAGTTTTAATTTATATTATTTTCAAATTTCCAATTTTAATTATTTTCTTATTATTTTTTATATAAACAAATATTAAATATATTTTTAATAAATATTTTAATTTATGTAAATATTTTAATAAATTATTTAAAGAATAACAATATAATTTAAATCAAATATTTAAATATATATTTAAATGGTAATAATATTATGTTTGTTATTAAATATATAAATATTTTAATTACCTATTAATAAATATTTGTCATTAAATTATGTTGTTTGTTTTTCATAATGAATTGAAATTTAAATAATCTTAAAATAATATAGACATGTAAAAAATATTAAAAAATATTAATTTACAATATAATGACAATTACAATTAAAAAAAAAACTAATAACCGGCTCTATCCAAGCGACCACCGGTGCCACACTGCAGGGGATGCGCGTTGCGACGAGGTCTACGACGAGGTTGTTGTGGTGTGTCTGGTCGTTGTGTGTTCAGTTGTGGAGGAGGATTTTGTTGGAACGGCCCCGGCGTATCGGATAGATTTTGCAGCATTTGACCCCAATAGCCGGGAGGTCCACTATCAACGGCGCTTCCGTAGTTTAGCCCAATGCCCATGTTTTCGTAGAGGTTGGGTGGAGTATGGACGGTATGGTTGTCCGAATTCGTACATCGAATTGGGTTGGAAATGGTGTGTTGGTTGTTGTGGGGTGTGGTAGTCAAATAATGGATAGTTAGAGGGGTAGTTGGAGGGGGTTGGGTCAAATGAGTTGTCTGGGCTATAGGTGGAAG